CGCCTAGCCTGCAAGCCAGGAGATGTCCTTTTTCTAACCATGCTGGAAGGGTTTTTAAATTTGGAACTCATTAGCATGATAAAAACTTGCTAAAGCTGATCTAGCAGGTGCCCAGACACTGGTTTGCACAGGAGAGGGCAGGTGCTCATAACTCTCACTTCTTCACAGGGTCCTAATTAAACCCTATAACCAGGACCATTGCAGTTGAATCTGTTCTTTCTTAAAGTTGGCCTTGCCCCATACTCTGCATCTGATCTATATATAATGTTCGCATCTCCATCTTCTGATGGTTTCAGCAATACTCAACTTCTGTTTCTCATTGATTTCCCATGACTTTGAGTTCAGCGTTTTGTTTTGTTTTTTCCCAGGACAACACAGATTTTATCAACTTTCCCCTATTGTCCTGTCTCACACTTTTTGGTAAAAATAACATTTCTGAATATAAAATTAATATGTAAAATTATAGAAAGTTTCAAAAATATGGAAACGCCGAAAGAAGAAAGTAGGTATCACTCGTAATTCCACTACCTAGAGGCAAGTGGTATAAATTTTTTGTGTTTTCATCTAAAGATTTTCCATGTCCTATATACTTTAAGAATCAATTTTATATTTTACTTTTGTTCAGACAATACTATGTTGTGAGGATTTTCTGAATGTTGATACAAACTCATCAAAGCATTCCTTATTCCATGAAATGGCTGTATTAAATTGACTTTAATATTCCTATCCTATTAGACATTTAGCCTGGCTGCTCATACTCTGATGCTACAATAACATTGTGCTCAGCCTAATGTTCGTAAGTCTCTAACGGCGTGTCTAACAATTTTCTTTGGATTATTTTTAGAAGTGAATAACTATGCTGGGCAATATAAATGATTTAGAACTCTGAGCAAATACTGCAAAATTGTATTCCATTGCATAAGAATGTGGATCTCTTAATTTTCCCTCTTATTTGAGATGCTAAGGTTAAATATTAACATAAGACTGCCAGTTTCATAAGCCTTCCCCACCAACAAGAAGCACATCAGCCTGTTTTAATCTGCATGTCTTTCATGACTAGCCCTCTCCTTGTCTCTGTTTCTCTTATTGTGCCGAATTGTCATTACCCAAATCTGTGCCCTAATTTCCTCTGAAGACTTGTGACTGTAAGAATTGTATAAATATCAATGGCTTTAGCCAAAGAGTTTTACAAAGTATGTTTTGGGCAGCATGCTACCTATAATATGTTCTCTCATTCTCCAAAGCTCTTTATTCTATGGTTGGCTCTTAGTTTCTTTGGAAAATGTTCAAGGGGCAAAGGCGAGGTCAAACCCTCCCTTTAGTAAGTTTTGCTTGACCTTGAAGCAGACATTTAACAGGTGGATTACAGAGCCACAGAAGGATGGCATCTTCCCAAGCACGCTTCCTGCTGAGCCAAGGGTGCAGTGAAGGAGACTGACAAAGATGAGTGAATAGATTCTTCTTCATTCTCGCATTGAAATGACATGTGCAAGTGGGGCATGAGGTTAGGGATGCATGAGCTCCCATTGTTAAATCCTTTTGTGGATGAATATTTAAGGATGTTAAGAAATGATGACTGGAGGTGGTGGCTCATGCCAATACTCTCATCACTTTGGAAGGCTGAAGTGGGAGGACTGTGAGGGCCTAGGATTTCAAGACCAGCCTGGGGAACATAGTGAGATCCTGTTTATACAAACACATTTAAAAAGGAAATAATTATACTACGAAATGCCGTATATAATATATTGCATATATATACTACAAAATATTGTATATAATATCATCCCAAGTTTATATACGTGAATGAGAGGTATGCTAAAATCAAAAAGAAGCATTCTCTGAGTGGTTGAGTTACAAGTGATATTCTAAATTTGATTGTTAAAATGAATTTTTAAATGATAGGATATGGAAAAATTTTAGAAGGAATTCCAAAAAATGCATAGCCCTTGCCTCAGGTAGTGGAATTATGAGTGACATCTAGTTTTGCTTTATGTGTTTCCATAGTTTTGTCTCTTCTAACTATTCCTAGTTGTTTTTGTTTTGTTTTCCAAATTTCTTACTGTACCCAAAGGGGAAGACATTGTAAATTTTCTCCACCAGCCTGGCATTGCCCTGACTCTTTCCTTCTTAGTGTCACTTCTCGGTGGGTATCATGACCAATGCAAAGTGCTGAGGCACAGGGCCGGGCGGCCCGCGAGGTAGCCCTGAAGGGGCAGCGGTGTGTGGCTCCAATGAGCCAATCATTGGGAAACTGGTCACTTCTTGGGGCTGGGACAGGAGAGTTTCGTTGCTGGGATAGGAGGGCAGATCAGAAGGAGAGAGGACAGGGGAGAGGCAAGGCCATCACCCTTGGTCAGCCCCTTCTTTTCTCTGCCAGGACTTTAATGCCTTAACACCCTAACACTCCCTGGCCAGGCAGGCAGCAAGACACATGGGGACAGTGAGATATAAAGCAGTGAGCACCACAGATTCCTGAGACACAAGAGGCAGATTGTTCCTTCTCTGCATATGTTTGTATGTAAATAGCCTCACATTCAGACAAGAAACTTGGATTTGCTTCAGTCTTCTCAGGATGGGTGAGAAAAACACTAGAAATGCTCAAAATGAGGCAGAACAGAAGACACCTGTCAGGGTGGAGATGGTGTTCAGTGAATGAATGTGAGTCTGTTATCAATGAATTGCATCCCGTGTAACCAGATGTAGAGAGATTGTCTTGTGAGAGAATGCACCAGTAGGAAAAGGGGTTTATGAGGCTGAGTCAGGGTCCCTGCACTGGCAGTTATTTTAAATGAATTGACCCAGGATTTCCACATTCATTCATTAAAGATTTGTTCATTAAGCAAATATCTGGCTCAAATTCCAGTTCCACGTCAACCAGCCATGCAGCCTGGAGCACATCACTGAGCTTTCTTGTGACTCTGTTTCTCTACTGTGCTGACAGCACGAGGTTTCCTGCAGAGCTGGAGACCTTGGTAGCCTCCAGGTGTGTGTCGGGCAACATGAACTGAGCATGAATCCTTGTCTTCTCAGATGCTGGAGCGCCCACCTACATGTATGAGTTTCAGTATCGTCCAAGCTTCTCATCAGACATGAAACCCAAGACGGTAATAGGAGACCACGGGGACGAGCTCTTCTCTGTCTTTGGGGCCCCATTTTTAAAAGGTAATGGCTCCTTGCTGTCCGTGAGCTTGGAGTTAGGAGACCTGGGTTCCAGTGTTGGTGTGGTGGGCTTCAGCAAGTTTCTCCTCTCCTGGTCTTAGTTTCCTGATTCTCTATAACAGGGTTGAACATCATTGGGTAGTCCCTGGGCTTCCTCCCGCTCTAACACATGTGAGGCAAGATGTGTCTTCATGTGCCCTCTGCACAGACACTCAGAATCCTGGGCTGTGTCATTAACAAGATAGGTGGTGGGACACATGCAGGGCTCTGCTTTAGGTTGGGAAGCCACCGATCAATTTCCCTCTCCCAGGAGTGCTGAGAATATGAGTGAGGATGAGGTTAGAATTGGTGTTAACTCTGAGTCAGGTCTAATGTGTGTCTGTTTGTCTTTCTGTCTGTCTCTAACAAAAACTCATAAACCTTTAAATTTAATATATTTAATAATTGTTAATTTACAAATCACAGGATGTATGAATTTGGAATATGAGAGGAGACTTATTTTTAGTCTTTATTTATAGTGAGCTATTATTTATAGTCAGCAAGGTGGCCATCCCACAGGCTGGGAAGGTGCCTCTGGCCAAGCCCAGACACAGGCTCATCAGATGAGGAGGGTTTGCGTAGGAGCTTTATGTGAACGGATTGACTAAACATACGTGTTTAACAAGTTACAGGGGAAGCAATGGATATTCATGAAGACAGTCCTGACACATGTGTATTAAAAATGCATGTAACATGGCCCATGTTCACCTGGTGGTGGAGACCTAATATTTAAATATATTATAATTAGGGCCTATAAGTCCAAAGATCTTCTCAGGACATAAAGCCCAGCAAGTGAGCAGCCTCTGTACACCGGCCAGGTCCAGTGCATGGTTGGTGATGTTCTTATCTGGAGAAAGTTACTGAAATCAGTCTCTTATGCAATCAAAGCCATAGTTAAGACCGGAGGGACAGGGTTCTGTTTGTCTGCGTATCCCAGCTGCAGCCGTTGTAATTGTTTTCATTTTGCTTAAGTCCAAGCCAATGCTTGTTTAGCTGCCAGAGAAACAGAAGCACCTCGTGGCAGTGAGAACAGAGTGGATTCTTTAAGGGTAGAGATGTAGGCCTGAACCCATGCCTGACATGGCCTTAGGTCTGATTTTTAATATGGTGTCTTATTGCCAAAAAGAGTGTGTTCTGTCAGAATGATGACCTTTATTTTATTGCTGATGCTGGTCAGTGGTGTCTAAACCACAAAAGAGAGGGAGTATTATGAGGTGTGTCTGACCTCCTGTCTGTTCCCAGGCAGGAACACAGTTGAAGGATTTTCTGGACTCCCCTTAGCCCAGAGAGGGTCTGTTCAGTCAGCTGGGGGTGTTAGGATTTTATTTTTAGACAATATTTTTACATTTTACAGTGTACATTTTACATTACACAATATTTTTAAAAGTCCTTTCACAATGTCTTCTAAACCTTAACTCTCAGCAGTTACAGATTACATGGGACTCACCCTGTGGCTGCTCAGAATGCACCAGCGCCTCTGGGCATCTCACTGTGCATGCTTAGGAGCCTTGCAGTTCTGTTGTTTTCCAGAATGTGAATTGTGGGTGTGTGCTGGGGAGTCAGAAAAGACCCAAGAGAGAGCAACCCTGGGAGGTGGGGCTGCCATAGAGGAAACCCTGGGGTGTGGCATTGCCTGTGACCCTGAGCAGGGAGGAGGCAGGCAAGGGTCACAGGAGAGAAAGGCAGCCAGCACATGGAATGACGCATGCCCATTGCTGAGCCCTAAGCCAGATAGATATACTGAAAGGTAAAGTACACACAAATTCACCAGGATCTTCTAGAACTGCAGACCTCAG